TCAATACTGAGTGCTGAATGGTTGCCTTAAAATTTGGGCCCATCCATTTGGCCTCAAGTGTCTCATGACATGACAAAAAGTTGAATGTCCGATCAACTTCTTCCACATACTCATTCAACTCAACATCAATTTGTTGGTTTTTGGTTGACATAAACTGATTTTTTCCAGAACTCCCGTAGAGCAATGATATGGATTCCAAAGATGGAGAATTGACGAGTTGACCAAATCCGCAGTTTTCAGAACCGTTGGATTTGAGGGGTTTCCTTTTGTGGCCCCAGTTCATCTCTGGTGGTAACTATGAACACTGCGGGTTACACCCAGGAGATATCCAGAAATCATGATGGATTTTGAGGCAATTCACATAAAAATTCTATGAAACTCCAGAGATTTCCAGATGCTCCTACATACAGTGTGGTAAATTTCCATTGAAACATTTAATTTTTGACCATCTGCCAGGACTCAGCTGGCACCACACCCCTCCTGGCAGCGGCGGCTGTTCACAACGCAGAGCTGGTGGCAGAGCTGCTGAAAGGCAAGGCCTCGCTGGAGATGCGATGCTCTGCCGGAAATGCAGGGATGCTGAGAAAATGTTGGAAACTTCCGGAAAAAAAGGAACAACTCATCAAAACCTTGGATTCAACTGACATCCAGACTGATTCAGCCAGGAAAATCATGGGAATTGACGAGATGAAAATTTCGAAATGAAGATTAATGCATCATCGCAGAAAAGGGGGGCCCAGAAAAAACCAGAGGTTTAAGGGAAACGCGCAAAAACGGAAATTATTCAGCACAATCGGATTGTTTAGCAAAATTTTGCATTTTGATATAAACGGCATTGTTTTGCTTTTCAGTTTGGGTGTTCAAACATGTTCGCTGCAACCTGGACGTTTGCCCGGAGTTGATGTCCCGCAATCAACGTATTGTTCAGAGGGGGTGGCTAATTTTGATCCCTCATGAAGATCAAGCTGATGTTATTTCCCCACTCAACATTGTTCTGAGGAGGTGGCGCATTATGACCCCTCATGAAGATAAAGTTGATGTTGTTAGCCCGTTCAGCATATTGGTCATAGGGGGTGGCGGATTTTGATCCCTCATGATGATCAGGTGATATTGTTTCCTCATGAAGATAACTGTATTCAAGGATATTCAAGGTATCTTTCACATGCCACCGTGGCCTTATTTCCCCCTTGGCCTTGCTTAGATTCGGAACTTCCCAGCAACACAGAATTGTCTCTGTTATGTCACAATGATGAGTCTGGGCGAACGTTAAGGTTGCGGACAGCATGCTTAGTAACGACCGTCAAATATATATATAGTATCTCTCTCTCTCTCTCTCTCGCTGGGAGGGTATTAGATGCTAACCAACAAAAACAGTTGAGAGATGTTGACCACCAAGAACGGATATGATACGGATATGGAGTGAAAAAAACTAAGAATGGACAGCAATCAGCAAAAATGGAGATACATATCAAACAAGAACGGGGCTGTAAGACCTTGCAAATCCTACAGATTTGATGGCATAGGAAATGGATACATTCTGCACATTTTGCGAAAAAAACACACCGAACAGATGTAAAAACTAAGGAACTCGCAAAGAGGAGACGGCCTTGATGGTGGCATGCAGGTGCCATTGACTGGGGGTCTTGAATAGGAGCAGATATTAAAATGGGGCTTCAACAAATGGACCCTTGCCTACCGTCACTCCAATACTGTGGGTTTGAAGGTCTTAGTGTTATTTTTGAAATTGCCTTTGTCACTTATTGCAATTGCAAGGACGATCAATACAACATTCAGAACCAGCAGTCGGAATTCAAAATTTGGTCATGCTATGTGCTGTTTTGCAAGGATCGATCTGGATGTCCTTGTAGTTTCAGGTTTCAGGTGCGGTTTGTGTTGGTTTGCCGGTGTCATTGGCACAAAGACCCGGCCCAGACAAATCTAACAAACATACAGACGATTGGTTGCAAAAGTACTTATACTAACCCTACCTTGTATCAATGCTTAACATTACATATATTTGCATAAAGATAGACTTCTACTCCTGAGTTTCACTTATATAGCGTAGCATCTATATATATATATTATATCCCTTTCATCTCCTTGCCTCTAAACCCAATGACTGATTTAAAGGCTTATGCCTGACAGCCGGGCGTCGGCCAAGCAAGCTTGGCACCATGTTGGCACCGACTTTGGGCGTATGGTGTGGGAAGATTGGGCCGAGATTCTCCGCGCAAACCCAGGAAGGGCTATGTTGAACCGAGGCAGGCATAATGCGCAGTGCTTGCCTCTATGGGAGCAGTCTGGGCCTACGTTGAGCGCAGGTTGTGCCCATGTTGGGCCAAGTCGGGCCCATGTTGCGCCATCGTGGGTTTATCTTGGGTTTATGTTGGGCCAAGTCGGGCCCATGTTGAGCCATCGGGCCCATCTTGGGCCTATGTTGGGCCAAGTTGGGCCCATGTTGAGCTATGTTGGGCCCATTGGGCCCACGTTGAGCCTATGTTGGGCCCATGTTGGCCTATGTTGGGCCTATGTTGGCCCACATTGAGCCCTCTTGGGAGCTATGTTGGGGCCATGTTTGGGCCATCTATGTTGAAACGATCTTAAGATGCATTTTTTTCCGCCGCGGGCCCCCTCCTGGAGCCCAAAACCACGTAAACCGATGTTTTTTAACATCGCCAAGATAAATCCCTTGCCGCCGAAGGGCCCGAAACACCGTAAAAAAAACGAATTTTCAACACCGCAAGCAAAATACACCGTAAACTATAGTGACTTCAGTGGTTCGGGAGTGGTATGGGTGTGAACTCGGGGTGGGTTGGCGGCCCCTATAACCTTCGGTTACTACCGAAGGCCTCCGGCAAGGACACGGGCCTGTGGCCGGCGCCCGGATTCTGAGGTATTTTTTGGTGATGCCACGCATTACATTAACTCCCAGGGAATCCCCAAAGTATGGCGAGTTATGGTTCATTCTCCAGTCTGTTTGCGGCATCTTAACGCACCTTAACGCATCGTTTTAGTTGGTGAAATGTTCGAAATATTCAAACCACCATTTCTTGTTTTTTTTTTTCTCCGGGCTGATATCTGCCTCATTTGGTCATTTCAGCATATTTCAGCATGCCAGGAAGGGCAACCACGAAACGGTGGAGGTGTTGCTGGGGGCAAACATGGAGGTGAATGCAGTGGACAAGGCAGGACAGGATCAAGAACTGGTCCATGGTAGTTTGTGATCCAACTGAAATTGGCCACATGATTACAAACCATTACAATGGGTCCAGTAGCGGTTAACTTGAGTTGGATCATTCTAGCGTTCGTTCCATTCACATGAGGGCTTCCGCACGAGATTGGCACCGGGATCTTCCTGCGACGTAGGTCGGTGCTTCTGCGCTCCATCATGCGGTGGATGGCCGAGTGAACCAATGCATGTGGCACCTGCTGCAAGCCAAAGGCGACATGAAGCTGCAGCACGGCATCGCATGGCGTCACGGAATGTTGACATGAACCCAGTTTATATTTGGGGAGTGTTTTTTGCTGAGAGTATTCATTGTATTTATATGTATTTATTGTATTCACTTTCAAAAGCGATGGTGAGGTATACTTATACTTCGTAGTTATGGGGCTATCAATCAGACTTGATTAATGGTGGGTATGAATTCAAATAGTGAAAATGGCACAGATGTTGGTTGATGGTGGTTTGGTTGGGTGACTAACCTATCAGGTTCAGAGGAGGTCCTGAACTAAGCAAACCTGCCGATAGGACCTTGAAACGATGAGTGCTACAGTCGAAAAGGGGGTTGTTGGTCTGGTTTAATGTGGAGAACGAGTTAATCTCATGTGGGAACCGCAGTGCCCCAAGCAGTAGGTGTTGACTGAGGGGTTTGGATGGATTTTTTACCCTAGAAATCCCAAATTGGGTTGCTTTGGGATGTGACAGGGTACCAGAGTTGTGGACAGGAGAATCTTCTTTCAGCTTCCAGAAAAAATTAGATGCTACTTTAGTTTGACTTTTGGTTGGGAAGGACATGTTGAATAGGTAGATCATAAAATGGGTGAGAAAATCCCTTCTAGTATCTTGAAAGATTTCAGGATGCAACACATGTTCTCGTGGCATAGGAGTGTAAGTGGCACTTTGTGTTTTGAGCATGCTTTATATTCCTTTCTGGTGTGTTGTGCGTCAATCCTAGAATGTTTCACAACGAAGAAAGATTCTTCTCCCACGGAATTTTTGCGCTTCATCGGAATATCCAGTGAATTGACAAGCGCAAACAAGTTCGGTCAACCCCTTGACATTCCGAAATTCCCTGTTGGCATTGCCGTTAGGCAAGACCAAAGTGGCCGCAACGTGCTGTGTGCCGCCTCCGACCTGGGCCTTCCACCGATGGTGCGCCTCCTGCTGGACCACTGCGCCAAGGATCCCATCGAAGGCCGCAGCGCGGATCTCTTCGGCCGCACCGCGGTCTACGCCGCGGCGGAACGGGGCAACAAACAGGTCCTGGAGATGCTGCTGCAAGCGGAGTGTAATCTGAAGGACTGCGGCAAGTGCCAAGTGATGGGAAGTGATGGCTGGATTCAATGGCTGTGTTTTTTGTTAATAATCTTCACAAGGGTGCAAGCATATTATGTGATTTTGACCACTGCTCTCGACGTTCCGCCTAGTTGTTGGAGAAGCGGATTCTGCGACCAAATCTAGATCAAGAGCGCTCCACCTGCACCTTGTTATATTCTCAGCTTCAAACGTTATTGGCCAATCTTTGTTCGGTATTGTTTCGTAACTTTTCCCACAGGCCCCTTGTGTTGCCCAAGCCCAGAATAGCGTGAATTACAAGGATTTTTTGTTCACACTATACTATACATCTCATATAAATTCTCCCACCCCCGTTAAACTCTTCCATTCATTGAAGATCTTCAATAAGGCTTTAATTCTCCCACCACCGTTAAACTCTTCCATTTATTGAAGATCTTCAATAAGGGTTTAATTCTCCCACCCCCGTTAAACTCTTCCATTTATTGAAGATCTTCAATAAGGCTTTAATTCTCCCACCCCCGTTAAACTCTTACATTCATTGAAGATCTTCAATAAGGCTTTAATTCTCCCACCCCCGTTAAACTCTTCCATTCATTGAAGATCTTCAATAAGGGTTTAATTCTCCCACCCCCGTTAAACTCTTACATTCATTGAAGATCTTCAATAAGGGTTTAATTCTCCCACCCCCGTTAAACTCTTCCATTAATTGAAGATGTTCAATGAGGCTTTAATTCTCCCACCCCCGTTAAACTCTTACATTCATTGAAGATGTTCAATGAGGCTTTAATTCTCCCACCCCCGTTAAACTCTTACATTCATTGAAGATCTTCAATAAGGGTTTAATTCTCCCACCCCCGTTAAACTCTTACATTCATTGAAGATCTTCAATAAGGGTTTAATTCTCCCACCCCTGTTAAACTCTTCCATTTATTGAAGATCTTCAATAAGGGTTTAATTCTCCCACCCCCGTTAAACTCTTCCATTCATTGAAGATCTTCAATAAGGCTTTAATTCTCCCACCACCGTTAAACTCTTCCATTTATTGAAGCTCTTCAATAAGGGTTTAATTCTCCCCCCCCCGTTAAACTCTACATTCATTGAAGATCTTCAATAAGGGTTAATTCTCCCACCCCCGTTAAACTTCTACATTCATTGAAGATCTTCAATAAGGGTTTAATTCTCCCACCCCGTTAAACTTCTACATTCATTGAAGATCTTCAATAAGGGTTTAATTCTCCCACCCCCGTTAAACTCTTCCATTCATTGAAGATCTTCAATAAGGGTTTAATTCTCCCACCCCCGTTAAACTCCCATTCATTGAAGATCTTCAATAAGGGTTTAATTCTCCCACCCCGCTAAACTTCTACATTCATTGAAGATCTTCAATAAGGCTTTAATTCTCCCACCCCCGTTAAACTCTTCCATTCATTGAAGATCTTCAATAAGGCTTTAATTCTCCCACCACCGTTAAACTCTTACATTCATTGAAGATCTTCAATAAGGGTTTAATTCTCCCACCCCCGTTAAACTCTTCCATTTATTGAAGATCTTCAATAAGGCTTTAATTCTCCCACCCCCGTTAAACTCTTACATTCATTGAAGATCTTCAATAAGGCTTTAATTCTCCCACCCCCGTTAAACTCTTCCATTCATTGAAGATCTTCAATAAGGGTTTAATTCTCCCACCCCCGTTAAACTCTTACATTCATTGAAGATCTTCAATCATCATCATCATCATCATCATCATCATCATCTTCATCAACATGCCGGGAACGTCCCTGTAAATCTCCGGGCAACACAAGGGGCCTGGCCGTAACTTTTCAAATACGTATCTTATTGGCAATCGTTCTTTTTATCAATTGACATAGGTCTGGATCAGCAAGAGCTACCCACAGGTCGGGAAGTCCTAGAATTGGTGACCCACAGCAACCACAGCAATAGCTGTCGCTTAACTCCCAACCGCCCTTGATCATATTCCATAATTGCTGGGTATCCACCATTTCCGCGGCCTGCCTGTCAAAATGCAACATATGGTTGACATTGGTTGATTATCTATATCTATATATATATATTGGTAAATTATAACAACCTCACTGCGACCTCACTGGAAATCATCCCCCATGGAACTTGATGAATTGCCCATTTGGGAAACCCTACACCAAAGAGGCTGCCGTGATCTCATTGGTTTGTATGAACAAAAGTATGCAAAACCCATGCCTGCAACTTGCCAAGGCGTAACACGCCCGGACAATGCCATTATATCACATCAACTCCTGCCTTACTTAGGCCACATCCAGGTTCTTGCCAATGATCTTTTTGTCACCCACTCACCAGTAAAATTTTCCCTCCAATTGCCACAGCCACAACTTTTTCGTACCAAATTGAGACTGCCACAAAGTTGGATTTCCTTGGGTATTGACAAATGTGACATGGAACAAGCCAGTGCTGTACATCCAACCCCCAATAACATCACCACTTTTGAAAAATGGGGACAACACCTTGAAAATGTTGTTGATACCTGTGTGCACCAGCAACATGAACTTCATGCGAATGGCTTTCAATGCTTGCCACGTGCATACCGCGGCCGATGCCAACCGCGTTTGCCTGTGAAATCTCCAGTCTATAGTGCCCTGAAACCTGCCCGCCATGGGGACTATGAACCTCTTTATGAAATCACCACTTTTTCCACAAAAAGAAAAGTAAAGCAAATCAGGCGACTCCACTGCCTTTTGCGTCGCCTCAAAAAAGCAGAACAAGCCTGTGTTGTCACAGAACAATATCAACTTGAAATGCGCCAAGAGTGGTCGACTATTCTCAAATGCACTTCATTCGGATGCCCATTTCGCCAATGGCTAGCTGCCCAACCAGAGTGTGGGTTTTCCCATGGCCGCTACCCACTAGTGCATGGCTATATGATGCCTATCAACTTGCGAAACATGTAGTGGATGCAGCCGTGAAACAGGACCATGTGGTCTTTGCCAAGAAATGCAAGTTTGCCAGATTTGCCGACTGCAAGTATCAGGGTTCTGCTCAGGCTTTTGGAGCCATAAAATCACCGCCTGCTTTGCCCATCACTGAGGTTTACGTTCCACACCAGGCTGAATGCATGCTGGTTTGGGACCAAGTTGCCTTGGATGAGTCCTCCGATGATTTCAACTTGTTGTCACCAGTCCGCATAGACACCAGTATTGCCTGGATTGTAGCGAGAGATGAAACCTCCTTCACTGCCAGACTTCATCAACTGCCAGCCCAATTCCCTGATCAAGCCACTGTTTCCCAAGAAAACTTTGTTATAGATCCCCCTCAAGTTGTTCACCAACTCAACAACTACTGGATGCCACTTTGGCTACGTTCACATGACCAGTCAGCAGAGGCCCCATGGCCTGAATTTAACATGTTGGTCAATGCCCTTCCTTCTCCACCACGACAGTTTCTTTTTGATAATTCCCTGACAGCTTGGAAACGCGCCATTGCCAAGATGAGAGCCAAATCATCACGAGGGTTTGATGCCATTTCCGCCCAAGAGCTCAAAATTTGCCCTGATGCCATTCTTGAAAGCCTCATCCATGTGTGTGATAGCTATCCTGATGGTTTCCCACAATGGTTCATGCATGCGAGAGTGTGTCCATTGAGCAAAACCACTGAAGTGCCACAACCTGCGCAGAGCCGCCCAATCTGCATCTTGAGTCAGCTGTACCGCTTGTACAGTGCTGTGTGGTGTACTCAGGTCTTGCGATACTGGAACACATGGTTCCCGCCCCAGATTTGTGGCATGCTTCCCACACGTGGCGCCCATGATGCTGCCTATATGGCCCAAACTGAATTGGAATTGGCCCATCATCTTCAACAACCTCTAGCGGGTGTCACCTTGGACATTATTAAGTGCTTTAATTGCATTCGACATGCCTGTGCCCCCAAGCTCTTGATAGCCCTAGGTTTGCAGCCTGCCAGAGCGTGGCAATGGTTTAAATCAATTACCAAACTCCAACGCTACTGGGACGTTAGCGGACAATCCCATGGTCCGGTGCCAAGCTCATGTGGTTTCCCTGAAGGTGACTCCCACTCTGTGTTAGTCATGCTCAGTGTCGCCATGCTTTGGATATCAGCTTTGCAACATGCCACCGGCCAAGAAGTCTCGGCCGCCTGCTATGCAGATAACTGGACATGGGCCACGAAGAGCCAACATTTGCACGGACCTGCAGCCTGCACCACCATGAAAGTCACCAAGCTTTGCGGCTTAGATGTAGACTTCCAAAAAACATGGCTGTGGGCCACCGACACCGCCACAGCCAATGCTGCGCAGGAAGCCATCCGGCCTCACATTCCTGCGAATGACCTGCAAAGAGTACATAGTGCAAAAGATCTAGGATTCCAGCTTTACTACTCAGGATGCCGCATCCTTGGTTCCCGCCGAACCAGGTATGAAGCCGGATTAAAAAGATTAGAAAAATTAGGGTTTCTCCATCATGACCTTGTCACTAAGGAACATCTTGTGCTGGCCAGTGTGTTCCCCACTGCCTTCTATGGTGCAGAAACCTTTCCTTTTTCTGACGATATGCTTGCAAAAATGCGTTCAGCAACAGCCGTAGCTTTGGTAGGAAAGCCCAGCTGCCTTTCCCCTGCCCTTGTCTTGTTGTTGACCCGAAATGCAATTCTAGATCCAGAGTTCTTTGTAATGGCTCAGGCCTTAAGAACAGCTATGCAATGGCTGCCCACTCAGCCAGCCCTGCGTCAAAAACAGTTTTTTGCTGCTGCCTCCAGTTTTGTGGGAGGAAATCGTAATACCAGGGGACCTGCCTCTACCCTGAAGCATCTCCTTACCAAGATTTCCTGGACAATTGATTGCGATGGTTGGGTTCATGTTGATGGTTTTTTAAAATTTAACCTTCTTCGGGATGGTTTTCCTCGCATCCGCCACTTCCTGACCCTTGCATGGCAGAACCGTTTGATCATGATGCACACTGCCCGCCATAGTTTGTATAGCTTGCCAGACATCTCCAGAACAGATACTGTTGCCATCTTGAAGCAATTTCCAGATGCTCAGCGCAAACAGCTCTTGCGAGAGATTGCAGGAGCTTATCAACTCGAGACTCAAAAAGCCCATTGGGCTCCAGATGCAGATGGAACATGTTGCTTTTGCATTATGGAAGACAGTCGCCAGCATCGCCTTTTGGAATGCCCTACCTTTGCAGAAGACCGAGAACCTTTTCAAGACGCCATTCGAAAAATGGATGAAATGGGTTTGGAATTTCCACTCTGCCCAGTTGTCACCGTGCACCCTGAAACCCACTTCCATACACTTTTACATTTCCAAGTGCCAAAGCCTGTTGTGCATGAATCTTTTCACGCCTTTGCCCAAGACCGACTTGCCACAAACACACCTTTCCACATTTATGTTGATGGTAGTTGTCAATTCCCACATTCCCCCACAACTAGAGTTGCAGCTTTTGCTGGCATTGTTGATATAGCCTTGACAGATGAACAAAGGTGCGAAGAGGCCAACCGTTTTTTGGCCACAGGAACCATGCCGTCCACCCTGATTCCTCTTTTTGCATCCCGTGTTCAAGGGGAACAAAACATAAACAGAGCAGAATTGTCCGCCATTGTCACTGCAGCTGCCCTGCCATATGGTTTTATCCATTCAGATAGTGCTTATGCCATCACCAAGGTACATGAAATCACGTCCAGTGCGATCCGGCTGTTTGCTCAGTCCAATGCTGACCTTTTGCATGACCTGCAAGACATCCGTCTATGTCCCAGCAGGGTCTGTAAGATAAAAGCACACCAGGACTTGCGTACGGTCTCTTGCTTGCTGGAACTTTATCACTTGCTTGGTAATGAAACTGCTGACGTAGCGGCCAAGTCCGCCTGTACTTCCCTTGATAAGCCATGGTATGATGACCTTGTTGCCCACCATAAGCAGATACAAATGGAAAGAGATGTTCTTGCGGATGTGTTTGGTTTACACAATGCCCTTGCGATCGCCCGTGCCAAGCTTGATGAACAACGTCACAGACAAGAATCCGAAGTTGTCCCAGTGCCTGCAAAAGCTAGTGTAGATCCCATTTTGCCAGCCATACAAACATGGATGCCGACTGAAGTCCAGGAGCTCGAGTTTCCAGACAGTCGTGATTGGTTTCGTTGGTTTGCGTGGGGTCCTACGCTTGCAGAACAGTTCTACATATGGATGCAACTTTTGGTTTGGCCGTCTCAACCTCAAGGTCCTTTTGCTAAAGAGATGGGAATTTCGTGGTTAGAGCTGGGTTTGTCCTTTTCCATGTTTCTAAGAAAAGCCTTGCCGATTCTGCGAAATAACTCTGAGAACAAAACGAGACTATTGATGATTGAGGATGAACAAGACTTGGTTCACCACTCAGTAACTCTTCAAGATGTCGCTGCCACTTTTCAGCGCATGTGGGCGCAGAGTCAGTCTTTGCTTCCAACTACAGCTTTTCCGCAGTGTCAAAAAGGGCTTCAGCCGTCTCTTTATATCCAGGGTATGAAGCAGTATACATCTGGGTTGTCTTTGCGGCCGAAGTTTGAATATCAAAGTGAAATTGCAACGTATCTCAAAGAACGACTTGCCAACAAGACTTGCTATGACGGTACTTTTGATGCCAACTGGCTTGATCCGAGGACTTCGGTTTTGGAAGATCATTGCTGGGAAGAGCGGAGAAATCGCCTCAAGTATCGAAATCGAATCGCCAAAGAACGACGTTGAAGGAGGTGCCTTTGGGGTTTCAATCTCCACTTGCAAAGCGAGTGCGTAACGTAGTTTTCTAGTGTTCTCCCCGCAATTGCAGGGAAGTCGAGCTCTGACATCGAGCCTCACTTCAGCAGCTGCCGGAGTGGGGCTCCCAGGGAAAGGAAAGGGCCTTAATTCAGGTTAGTGAAATATTATAACTTACCCATATATATATATACATACATCTTTCTTGTGACGAATGCTTCTGCTTGCCCTTCGTGCCCATCCATACACTTCAACCTTTAGAATATCTCCAGGAAATTCAAACCATCCTCATCCCATCCTCATCCCATCCTCATCCCATCCAGCCCCAGCAACGCAGCAATGGAGGACGTGGATCGCAACCAGCGCAGCCCGCTGCACGCCGCCTCGCTGGGCGGCTTCCTGGACCCCGTGCAGCAGCTGCTGCTGGCGCGCAGCGAGGTGCACGGCCAGGACCGGGACGGACACACGGCGCTGCACGTGGCGGCGGAAGCGGGACATGTGCAGGTGGGGTTGAAGGGATGGGCTTGAAAACTAACTTAAGAAAAATGAAAGGAATATACGGAATATATACGGAATATAATGATGATATATGATGATATATGATGATATATGATGATATATGATGATATATGATGATTAAAGTAGATTGTTTGATTTGTTTGGTGCTTCCGATGTTGAAATCAGTTGGGGTCGTAGCTGCGCCCAGTGATGTTGGTGACCCTCAGGCGCACGGTACCACCAAGATGTACCAAGCATGGACCAAGGATTAAGGATCCTAAGGGATTCCATTTGGGGCTGGAGATGGAAATGATTTCTCCAAATTTACTATCATTTCGACAGTTGGAAGTTCGAGAGTTCACGCAGTTGTCTCAATTGGAACTCCTAGGCGGATCAATCTGATTGGCGGATTTGTCTGAAATCTTCATTTTTTTGGAGGAGTTGAAAAAGTAAGCAGGAAAACTTTCAGAAAATGCACAACTCCAAGAATTTCATTTGCAGGTGGTGGAGGAGCTACTCCAGGGTGCGGGGACCCGGTGGCAGATGTCCCCCCACATTATTTCACAGCTGAAACAAAAATCAACTGTGGGATTTAGAACAAATTCGTCGAATTTCCTTTCCATGTTTTGCTTGGCGTGCACCCGGATGTGTCGCGCTAAAGACATCTCAACGCAGCCTAGGCAAATATATGGAGTTGAATATTGAATGAAAGATATGACACATATGACAGATACTGTGGATGGTTGAAACCCTATAAATAGTGGGATAAACCACCTATCAACTGGTGCAGGATTTCTTCCACAGTATGACAGATGGTCGTCCATTCACTGTGGAGGTGGCGCAGACCTTCGGGTGAACCACAAGGGCAGCACCCCGCTGCACCTCAGCGCCCGGCACGGGCACCGCACCTGCTGCGAACGCCTGGTGGCGGCCCCCGTGGCGCTGGGCACCGTTGGTGCGGCCAACGACACGGGGCGCACTGCGGTGCACCTGGCAGCGTGGCAGGGACACCACGAGGCGATGTAGATGGACATTTGATGGAGGAATCAGAGGTCAGAACGAAACACTGAGGTCTAACGAATCTACAACCAGATAATTAGTTGAAGGATCTTGATGGATCTTGTCTTTCGATAGAACATTTAGACCTGAATCCAATGAGATTCTTATCCATTTCTGTTTGAATCCCTATTCCTTTGGTTAATTTACCCATCTTCGTGAGTACTAGATTCCGCATTCTTGTCCTCTTAGCTACCCTGCCAGGTTGTGAAGATCCTCTTGGAGGCCGAGAAAGATCTCTGAAAATCAGATTTTTATGGGTAACATCAACACATATAGGATATGTTCATACATTTTCCAACTTGGGGAACCTCAAGTTTTGGCATTCTGAATGTCACGTTCAAACTCCAGCCATTCCTCCAATTCCTGGATGAGGCGCGCGCGGACACCAGCCATCCGGACAGCCACTGTCACACCGCGCTGCACCTGGCGGCAGATGAGGGACACCTCTTGGCGGTGCAATGTCTGGTGGAGGGGAAGGTGCGCGCCGCTGAAGCTGGAGAAACATTTGCTGTGATTTGGTAGGGTTGATATGGTTGATTGTGATTCATATATGATTAGCACATGTTCACTATGACTATGATGGTGAATTTTCCGGGTTAAGATGGGTCAACCATCAAGAATGGGCCTTGAACTGTTTCACCGAGTAATTGTACGAATAAGTCATGTATGAACATATGTTGCGAACAGGGTGGAGATGGGTCGAGCCAAGTGGCCTGAGATGTACTGTCCCAGGCGGATTGCAACCAGCCCAACAGCCATGGCCGCAGCGCGCTGCATGCAGCTGCCAATCGAGGTGCCAACCGCAAATGAGCAACACAGAATCGGACACAAAAACCCGCGAATCGGAAACTGAGAATCATAAACTAAAAACTGCGAATCAGAAACCGAAATCCGCGAATCAGAAACCAAACAAGCCCACGAATCAGAAACCAAAAACCCCACGAAACAGAAACGAAAAATACGATAATTAAGGGATCAAATCCGCAAACCTCTGGAACAATTTGTTGAATGGGTACTTCAACGTATCTTCAGAAGGAATAAAATCCGCCGCAGTATATTGTATATGAGATATTAAATTCAACTTTTCTTCGTAAGGGATCAAATCTGGCACCCTCAGTAAAAGCCCCTCCTTGCAGTTCATTCCACACTCCGCCGGTGAAGTGCTTCAATGAGGTGAGACCAGTTGTGAATACTTTCCAAAGCATAGGGTTTGGTTTCTAATCCGCGGGTTTTTAGTTTCCGATTCAGCGGTGGTGGCCGATTCAGGGTTTTTGGTGTCCGATTCCTAGCTTTTAGTTTCCGATTCACGAGTTTTGGTTTCAGATTAACGGGTTTTGGGTTTCCGATTCATTAACGGGGTTTAGTTTCCGATTAATGGCTTGACCAGTTGGATGGGTAAAGCGGTTTCAGATGAACGAAATTGTGTGCTTCTTGGTACCCCAATTCTTGAGCCCCCATTCAGTGGTTGGTTTAGTGGAAAAACATAGAAGACACCGTGATTTTCTCATACTTTCCGCATCAAAACAATTCGTAAAACGCTTCTAATGTGAATGTAAACCAATCTTGGAAAGTCTTTTTTTAGTTTGGATTCAATCGTGTTCCCCATGAAATTGCCACCATTTTGGTCTGTCACATTGCATACCAAGTACCAAGCTGAACTGATCATGAAATCAATCAGCAGCTTCCCTTGCCGTCCCGCCTATCTTCAGCCCGAATCATTTCAGCGTGGTAAACCCATCATTTCACCACATAATCACACCCCATTGGGGCTTATGTAGGGTTGCTATGAGAAACTGTGCAAAATCATGGTTTAGGATTGGGTCGGTTGTTTATCGAACACATCCAACAAGTATTTCAAGGGTTGTCTCAAACTAGGTCCAATTGGAACTTTCATGGGGTCCTACTACTTGGAATACACCCACAGAAATTTGATGAGTCTAGAGTCTACATTTCATTACATTTCTACATGTCTATTTTCCATGGCTCCCAGATGCAGCCCTATTTTTGGATTACAGCACATCACCAGGCCATTTGGAAATTTGCAAGCTCTTGGTGGAGGCAAAGGTGCGAGTTCCATCCAAGGGGCGGGTCAGTGGATGGATGGATGTGAATTGAGGCCCCTTGGACGCCATCTTCAAGAGTAATCATGTGGATGATGTGGGATGGGTTACCGGGTTATAAAAAGCACAGTCCCCAAATCCCCCAGTTTTGGATACACATCAATTGTTGGCTTGGAGACTTAAATGTATAGCTTGACCCAAACTCATGTGCAAATCAAACCACCTACTTGCCCAAGCGTGGTATGGCCGGCGAAGACATACACGCTGTGGTCTTCGTACCCGATTCACAATGAAGGTCTCCGTCGGAAGGCTGTTGGGTTTCCATTAGTAATCAGGATCATCCTTGGTGATACCAACGATCTTGGTGTCATTGGTGTTGACTAAGTTGACTGCTCTGACCGGTATATGGCTCAGGCCCACAGTGGACCAGTATTTTCCACGGTGATTTTCAGCAGGTGATTGCCATTTCCCGTTTTGGACAATTCACATAGAATGTAGATTCGCTCACAATTTCCAGCAGTGTGCACGTGCGTATTTTTGTTCATGTGTACTGTATACAAATAATAAAAAAAGCACAGAATATATGCATATCCTATGGTACTTGTAGGAGTGAGCATTTGGATCTACCCCATTCTACTCATGTTTCAAATTTGTCAGTTCAGTCTTTAAAGCCATCAAGGCTTTCACAGGTGCCGACAAAGCAAGGTGCCTTTGATGTCCACGAGTGCTGCAAGTGGCTATAGGGCAGGTGAAAGCTCAGACCTGATTGATCTGGCTGTACTCTGTCTGAATGGCGAAGGATGCAACTTGAAGATCAGCGGTTCCTCTTTGGGTCTGGACGTGTACCTGATGGCTTCTAGGCAGCTTCAAAGGAAAGCTGGAAAACTGGACCTGTATCACCTTGATTCAAAGCTGATGCTGCACCAAACGTTGCGAGAGCAAGGCATTGCTGGCTCTGCCACCCTCTCTTGCACTTATGTTCCCATAGATCTGTTAGATGCGTGGCTTTTTCTCAAAGGATTGATCACCCCTAAGGGTGAGATTGCATTACACGGAGTTACACGAATAGTAGGCGCAACGAACAGTAGTACTAACTATTTGTACAATCTTCCACAAAGCCTTGAAAACTTGACCTTTGCTGATGATTTCAACCAGAGCCTTGAAAAAGTTCCCTTGCCAAGCAGTCTTCAGACCTTGACATTTGGCTTTGGTTTCAACAAGAGCTTGGAACACGTGACCCTACCAACAAGTCTTAAGAGCTTGACGTTTGGCAGCAATTTCAACGAGAGCCTCGAAGAAGTGACTCTGCCAAGCAGTCTTCAGAGCTTGAAATTCGGCATTCACTTTAACAAAAGCCTGGAACGTGTGACCCTGCCGAGCAGACTTAAGATCCTTATATTTGGGCATGATTTCAACCAGGGTCTCGAAAAAGTGACTTTTCCAAGCAGTCTTGTGAGCTTAACATTTGGCGTTTGTTTCAACCAGAGCCTGAAACTTGTGACTTTACCAAGAAGTCTTCAGAGCTTGACATTTGGCAGCAAATTCAACGAGAGTCTCGAAGAAGTGACTCTTCCAAGCAATCTTGTGAGCTTGACATTCGGAGATGATTTCACACAGAGCCTTGAAGCAGTAAGTCTGCCAAGCAGTCTCCAGAGCTTGTCATTTGGCATAAAATTTAATTGCAGCCTGGAACGGGTTACCCTGCCAAGCAGTCTTCGGAGCTTGACATTCGGCCTTCATTTCAACCAGAGACTGGAACATGTGACCTGGCCAGATAGTCTTGAGATCTTGACATTTGGATCTGATTTCAGTCAAAGCCTCGAAAGAGTAGCCTTGCCAAGCAGCCTTCAGAGCTTGGTATTTGGCCTTAATTTCAACAAAAGCCTGGAGCACGTTACCCTGCCAAGTAGTCTGAAGAGCTTGACATTTGGGCTTAGTTTTAGCCAGAGCCTTGAACGTGTGACATTGCCAAGCAGTCTTCAAACCTTGACTTTTGGAAGTGATTTTGATGAGAGCCTTAAACAAGTCACTTTGCCAAGCAATCTGCAGAACTTGACACTTGGCCGTCATTTTGACCAGAGCCTGGAAGGCGTGTCCTTGCCAAAGAGTCTTCGGAGCTTGACGGTGGGAAGTGATTGCAACGGGAGCCTGGACCATGTGACCCTGCCAAGCAGTCTTCAGAGCTTGACATTTGGAGGTTTTTTCAACCACAGCCTGGACCGTGTGACTCTGCCAAGCAGTCTTCAAGCTGTGATATTTGGCGATGATTTCAACCAGAGCCTTGAACACGTGGCCCTGCCGAACATTCGGAGCTTGACATTCGGCCTTCATTTCAACCAGAGACTGGAACATGTGACCTGGCCAGATAGTCTTGAGATCTTGACATTTGGATATGATTTTAATCATAGCCTCGAAAGAGTAGCCTTGCCAAGCAGCCTTCAGAGCTTGACATTCGGGTGTCGTTTCAACCAGAGCCTGGGAACCCTGCCCACCAATCTTCAAAGCTTGACATTTGGAGATGATTTCAACCAGAGCCTGGAAACCCTGCCAAGCAGTCTTCAGAGCTTGACGTTCGGCTGTCATTTCAATCGGAACCTCGATGGCATGTCCTTCCCAAACAGTCTGCAGAGCTTGACATTGTGCGATCTTTACTCGAACTGCTGGAGTCTTGACAGACTCACCTTGCCTAACACCTTGCGCACCCTTGTGTCAGGTTCAACTTTGGTGAGCAGCTTGTGACTTTTGTTTTGGCGCAGCATCTGAATCAGCCGATGCACTTGTTGCTTGCGGAACCATCGTGGAAATTGGCCAAATTGGCGGTTCGAATGTTTTTAAATACTTTCATCACTTTCATCCCTAAGGAGGATGATCCAAATGGATAAGCATATGTTGGACGGATCTATAGGTTTTTCACAGATCCGCTCTGCTGTCATGACACATTTCTTACAGTCGCCTGAAATTCAGGGCTAAGCGGCGCAGCTGGGTGATTTTCACCCTCACCATGTAGCCATGCAGCCATGTCATATGTCCACTTTATTTGGCTCATCCCAGTGAGGTGAAGGGCTTCAAACTATTTCAAACTACCCATGTCCCTGGACATCCCTGGACCTTTGGGAGGTTTGAGTTGAATTTTCTAGCTTCGGAACTGGCTCCCAAAATCTCCCCAAACTATCCCAAATTTATTATATAGACATTAGAATCATTAGAATGTGTTTTTTGGTCGCTTTAAAATCCAGTCGACTTCAGCAGCCCATAGGCATCGCTGAATCTGCCGGACCGCTACTCCGAGACGCCTTTGAAGTCTGCCGCTGTGTCGGGACACAAAGACCTGGTCCTAGCACTAAGCGCAGGAAGCACAGGAAGCACAGGCACCATAGGGGAGACGTGGTTTGGAAAATGGCCCAGTGATAGCTGATTTACCTATTAAAAGTGCTGATTGTCAATAGTTATGTTTGTTTACCAGAGGGTACCTTCCGGAAATCAAATGTGGCGAGATTTTGTCGTCAGCATAGGGGATTTAACCAGCAGACATGCGGGTTTTCGTTTGGCATGTTGGGTGGTTTGTACTCATCGGGTACCTTCTAGTAATCCAAGAATGCAATGAAGGATCGCAATTTTCGATGCGAACATCATCTACAAACGATTTTTTGCAGTGCAGGGATTATTCATCACCAGGCATGAATATCACCAGAGGGTACCATATCAAAGTGGATGGTTTGCTTGAAATGACCAAAAGCTGTGTGGTTCTGGGCACTATATTTGACCACTACCTGAGATTTCAACGTACCGTGGGCGAAAAATCCCCAGAGGTATCACAAAGAATGGGGACCAAAATGAGACCAACCAAGACTGGGATGGAGGTATGGCCGCCGCGATGTCTTCTCGATTTTGGGTCTGTAGATAGCCACTCAAAAATCTAAAAACACAAGTGGCAGAGAGTGGCAGGATATCATGTTTCCACCTGGCAAGTCGAACTTTGGGTGCCACGGTGCCAAAGTTGATGGTGTACTCTGCACTTCGACCTTGTCACATGACAGATCCCAGTGGTCCCATAGCTCCAGGAGTTTCGAGTGCCAGTTTCGTAATTTGGATCCATGGATCCCAGGGCTTTTTGTGGTAGCACTCACCAGACAGGGTCGGTTAGAGGTTAGAATATGTTAGAATCAACATGAACCAAACAAGGCTAGAAGGGTTATCAAGATATCAAGAGAGATGTTTGATCATAAGTTGATTCCATTTGATTCTCATCAACAGTTGCATTGATATTAATGCATATGCTGCATATCCTTACTCAGTGAGAGGGATAGCCCCAAGACCTCTCTGCGCTGCACCTTTGCAGGTGCACATGAGGGGTATGCGAAAATGCTTGCGGCTCGCGGCGACAATGGAGGGAAGTGGCGCTAAGTAGCTGTTCAAGAAGAGGTACCAAGGGAACCACACGGTGATTTGCATGAAAACTGTCCATCATGTTGAATCAACCAATGGTAATATCTGGAGGTGTTGATTCTTTATTTCGCACACCCAAGGCATCCCAAGGCTCTTTGGTAAGATGATCCGATTACGAATGTTTTTCGCAATCGGCCCAAGGCTCTCAACGCCGCGCAGAGATGCTTCGATGTCGGCAGCACCGCTGTGCCATGGAGTGCCAGGACAGTTGTTTGATTTTGCCAACCAAAAACGGAGTTTTCAGCACGAAACATGGGGTATTAAACTAGTATAGCTCCTTATAATCTGGGTTCATTCTTCGAAATGGGTTGGATTCAGCCAACACAGTTATGGGGCTATGAAATCAACTGCAATGAGAATATAAGGAAGATTTCGTGGGAGATAGAGCCAACAATGTGATACTATATGTCAAATCACCATTTCAATGAATTGAATGATGTTTCAATTCGTAAACAAAATCCAAGAGACGGAATGTGAACCACTAAGAATACGGATACAAGTGATTGCAGGCTAGCCATTGCACGATTGGCACTGGGTGGCGATCGGGGAGTTAAGATAAGACATGGAATGACCATCTCACATCAACGTCAGATGGACTCAACCACTCCAGTTTGGTGGTGCATCTTCCCTCTGGATCCAATCTCCTTCCTGGGTAAACCCTGGTTTGGTAGGTTAATGGATTAATTGCAGACTAGAAATTGAGGAATGGTGTATGCATGTGGCCTGTGTATACTATCCGGTAAAGTGTTAACTTGTTGCAGGAGATCTAGGATTTGTCATGTTTCCTCACCAACTCATGTCTGCAGCAAGGCTTGTTGGTGTCATCACCACGTCAAAAACTTCTCTCAAAGAGAGGAGATCTCCTCGTATCTCTGGGACTACTACTACTGTGGCCATCCCAACGTTCGGAGCCTGGTAGCGGGTGCAGGGTGGATCCGAAATTTGGGGGATAGTCGATGTGTTGTGGTGAACTGGTGAAGCCAATAGTGACCCCCAAATGGATCTTGGATGATCTTGGGATATACAAAGACCCAGGAGATTTATGACTCTCAAACTGGCTGTGTCGCTGGGCGACAAAATGATTGATCGCCATTTCGGATGGTGAAGGTCAACGCAACGAATGAAAACGACACATTGTGGGGCTGGTACCATCTCGTACCCCATCGTTTTTTCAGATCTTGATTTATCTTGATTTATGTTGGAACCTCTTTGGTTGATGCACGGCCATTTCACGATCTGTTTGGGGATGGCTGCTGTTTGAGTATGAGTTTGGTACTGTACCGATTGGTACCTGAACTTTGCCAGTGGGGTAGCTTCTGACCAATGCCCAGGCGGGCATCAATTATTAGTGAGCAGTGTTTGATATTTTTCAGAGTTATGATAATATGAAGCCCACAACTGTCTATCTGGAAACAGTAGCGGATTGTTTGTTTGAGTCTATCCATTCTGGATCTTCCAATGTCGTCCATGAGTAATACTCTATATTACATTAAAACCCATTGAAGCGGATTGAAACATATTGAAACATGTTAAAACATATCCAAGCATAGTATTAAAGCATATATATATATATACACATAGTATTTAGTATATCATATGAATCATATACATTTACATATCCTTATTTTGTATCCATTCATTTCACACCAGGGTCCAGACTTCCAGATGCCAGAGAGGAGGCAGCATTGCGAGGCGCCTGAGTGGTCTTGCTCGCAACTGGTGGTATTTCTGAAACATCCCACTTCTTGGGGCTTAATTTTCTGCTTAAATATGCTTAAATCATCACCATGGATCATGGCTGATATGGCCAAATATCCGCCAAAACCATGCCACATACACACATATATATATATACATCGGAATCATATCCATATCCCAACTCTAGCTCAATCGCATCCAACTAAAATTCCAACTATGTCCCATTTACATCCCAATAATACTACACGAAGATTAGGCAATCGGAATATAATCGTGTCTTAGAATTGTTGATCAGACAAGTTAGAGGAAATGTCTGAAAGTTTTGTGGTTGAATCATGTTAATCATATGTTAATCTAACGTTAACTCCATCGTTTTCTCGATTTTCCCCTCAAAACCAGGTGCTCGTTTTTCCCTCGCCACAGGAGCTCTGCGAGTTGGAGGACCGTTATCGAAGGTTACTGGAGGAGCAGGATGCCGAACGCCGGAAGCAGGACCGGAAGAAATGTGGTCCGGTGCTTTTTCGTGACTGTAGTGGCTTCACCATGAAAATCTGGGGGTTTTCTATGGTTTGATGATGTTTGATTTGATTAAAATATGGTTTGAGCATGATACATTTTACGGGTACCCCATGGTACCCCCATGATTGACAAACCGTTTGTCTGCGCCTCCAGGAGGTGAAAGAAGAGCTCTTGCAGTTGCAGGACGAGTACGAAGCACTGCTGGAGAAGCAGGCGCAGCATGGCGCGGCCGATTTCATCGACCGATTTCAGAGGTCTCTATGCTGGCAACGGCAATCCAATGCCGCCATGCCCAGCTCAGATTGACTCTTTTGCAGGATATCAAAGATTAGACATAGTCCAAAGCAACATGTTTTTTTGATGGCAAATATGCCATGTAAGCATAAGGTGGAAATGTCGCCAACAATATTTGACATGCCGATATGCCCTTGTAAAGGTCTATAAAGGTTGGTGACATTGAGACATTGGCGCAGAAAAGATGTTTTTCATCCAGGATTCAGCGGGGAGCCCTCGCAGGCGGCGTGTCAGCAGATTCGCTACTTGACCAGTCAGCGCGAATGCGAATGCGAAGGCTTTCTGGATGTGAAGGTGCGCTGATGGTTTAAACACATCGTTAAACGGGTCAATGGTGCGACTGCTTCGTTGAGAGTTCAATGAAGGATAGGTCATCGATCAAGAGGAGGAAAGGATGTACATTCAAAAGGCCAGGATAGAACCATGGTAACCATACAAAAGCAGTACTTTATTTGTGCTATTTCTCAATATTGTCTTTATCGTCTTGTTTCCAGTTGCACAGGGATGGTATGCCCAAGTCCCCTGCGGCCAGGCGCGAGAACGGATCCTGCGACAACGGAGACAGGACGTGTTGGCGCAGCAGGCTGGGCCAACTTGGGATGCTGGGCGATGGTGGCGGCGGTCATGGTGATGGTGGCCTGGACAAATTGTATTAAGCCAAAATAATGATAATGAGAAGTTTATCTGTGGGGAATCAGCCCGGTTTGATGATGAGGATGACGATGATGATGATGATGATGGTGATGATGGTGACGGTGAGGATGATGATGATGATGATGATGATGATGATGGCGATGACGATGGTGATGGTGATGGTGATGATGGCGATGGCGATGGCGATGGCGATGGTGATGGTGATGGTGATGGTGATGTGATGATGATGATGATGAGGACGATGATGACGACGATGATGATGACGATGATGATGGCGATGGTGATGGTGATGATGATGATGATGAGGATGGCGATGGCGATGGCGATGGTGATGGTGATGGTGATGATGATGATGATGATGGTGGTGGTGGTGGTGGTGATGGCGATGTTGGTGGCGATGGTAATGATGATGGTGATGATAGTGATGATGGTGATGATGATGATGATGGTGGTGGTGGTGGTGATGATGATGGCGATGGTGATGGTGGTGATGGCGATGGTGATGGTGATGGTGAGGATGGCGATGGTGATGGTGATGGTGATGGATGATGATGGTGATGATGATGATGATGATGATGGTGGTGGTGGTGGTGGTGATGGCGATGTTGGTGGCGATGGTAATGATGATGGTGATGATAGTGATGATGGTGATGATGATGATGATGGTGGTGGTGGTGGTGATGATGATGGCGATGGTGATGGTGGTGGCGATGGTGATGGTGATGGTGATGGCGATGGTGATGGTGATGGTGATGACGATGATGGTGATGATGATGATGATGATGATGGTGATGATGATGATGATGATGACGGCGATGGTGATGGTGGTGGCGATGGTGATGATGGTGATGATGATGATGGTGATGGTGGTGATGGCGATGGTGATGGTGATGGTGAGGATGGCGATGGTGATGGTGATGGTGATGATGGTGATGGTGATGATGATGATGGTGATGATGATGATGATGGCGATGATGGCGATGGCGATGGTGAAGATGATGATGATGATGGTGGTGATGATGGTGATGGTGATGGTGATGATGATCATGATCATGATCATGATCATGATCATGATCATGATGATGATGATCATGATGATGATGGCGATGGCGATGGTGATGGTGATGGTGATGATGGAGATGGCGACGGCGATGGTGATGGTGATGGTGATGATGGTGATGGTGATGATGATGATGATGGCGATGATGATGATGATGGCGATGATGGCGATGGCGATGGTGAAGATGATGATGATGATGGTGGTGATGATGGTGATGGTGATGGTGATGATGATCATGATCATGATCATGATCATGATCATGATCATGATCATGATGATGATGATCATGATGATGATGGTGGTGGCGATGGTGATGTTGATGGTGATGATGATGATGATGACGACGGCGATGGTGATGGTGTTGGTGGTTCTGATGACGGATTTTGGTGGTGATGATGGTGATGATGATGATGATGATGACGATGACGATGACGATGAAGATGAGGACGATGAGGATGATGATGACGGCGATGGTGATGGTGGTGGCGATGGTGATGGTGATGATGATGATGATGATAATGGTGATGATGGTGATGATGATGAGTGTGGTGATGATGATGATGGTGGTGATGGTGATGGTGACGGTGATGATCATGGCGATGGTGATGTTGATGATGATGATCATCATGATGATGAATATGATGATGATGATGATGGTGATGGTGATGGTGATGGTGATGATGATGATGTTGATGGTGATGATGATGGTGATGATGATGATCGTGATGGCAATGGTGATGGTCATGGTTATGATGAGGATGATGACGATGATGATGACGATGGCGATAGTGATAGTGGTGATGATGATGATGATGATGGCGATGGTGGTGGCGATGGTGATGATGATGGTGATGATGACGATGGTGATGATGATGATGATGGTGATGATGATGATGATGGTGATGATGATGATGATGATGATGACGGCGATGGTGATGGTGGTGGCGATGGTGATGATGAGGATGGCGATGGCGATGGCGATGGTGATGGTGATGGTGATGATGATGATGATGATGATGGTGGTGGTGGTGGTGATGGCGATGTTGGTGGCGATGGTAATGATGATGGTGATGATAGTGATGATGGTGATGATGATGATGGTGGTGGTGGTGATGATGGTGATGATGGTGATGGTGATGATGGTGATGATGGTGATGATGGTGATGATGGTGATGATGGTGATGATGGTGATGATGGTGATGATGGTGATGATGGTGATGATGGTGATGATGGTGATGACGATGGTGGTGGCGATTCTGTCTTCACATCTTTTTTCTGCTTTCTGATTGTCCATTTCCTCGCAGATTTCATTTCTTCTTGCGTCCGATCACCTCGCAGGAGGTGGATGACCAGATCTTCCAAGTGCTGGCAGAAAAGCAGCAACTACTCCAAGAACAGGTGCGAAATCTAGCTGTACCGTGGTCCAATTGGAAAATGGATCTCATCTGTCAGCTATTTTCAAAAATAAACATCTGAAGACATTCCGCAAATGTGTGCAGCTGTCATTCCGCATGGGGATATCCCATCGTACAGACTTCTTGGTCTCTACAGGGCAATGTTTTTGGGTGTGTTGAAGGGTTCCAAGTGTTGCAAGAGTCTTACCGTCTTACCCATGCACATGACATTTACATGAGATTAGCCAAATCCCTGTTCCTAAACACTTTCTTTGTTTGGCACGTTCATGACAGTGGACAACTCCCCTTTTTCTTAGTGGAGCCATCTTCAGAAGTCATGTTCATTCATGTTTCACTTGTCAGGATTGCTTGGTGTACCATTTTCCAGACAAAGGACAACCATTCTGGGTCACCAAAAAGGACACGGCCACGGAGATGGGAGGGCCCTGTCAAGTGACTGTCACACGCAACGCCAGTTGAGGTGGTCGATGATCCGTCAGCCACAGGTACCGTGATGGAAGATAAACAGCAAATTGAAAGAAGTTGTTCCAAACATGATCATCAATGAACATCAATTAACATCAATGATCATCAATGAAAACTCATGAACATGATGTTTCTCGGTGGATTGTGCGTAGTTTTTGTGGGTCTACAGCCCAGGAGTTTGAACATCGGATGCAGATGATCGACGATGCCCATGCTGACCTCCAGGTGGGCGTTTCGCGCCGGTTGTTTCGACCCGACAATTGAGACCCCATGGCATCCCATGGCCATGGCGTGCCAGGCGAGGATCAAGGCTCAAGTCACGGTGAGGCTGAAAGGGGCACCGTGGGAAATCATGGATGACATCATTGACATCTCCGTATCTTTGTCGTTTTTTTAGTTTGTATCCTCATATCATGTTTAGTCACTTATGCTATCTTATGTTTTTGTTTGTTTTTTGTCTGAATCAGAGAAACTAACAAGAGACATTCAACCAACTCCGACTCCGACTGTCTCGCTGTGCAGGTAAGAAGCTGCTCCCCCTTTTTGCCTCCATTCGATGCGCCCCGAAATACCAGATGGTAACTCGACACCCCTCTTCCCACTTTCACTTGGCAGACCTGACTTTAAAAACCATTGCACCACATAGTCAGAGTGACCATTTGGGAATAATTTCAAACCTAGGCCTTTCACATGGTAAACTCTAATATTTATTTATATACTTAATACTGGGTCTCTTATTTCTACCTTGACTAAGTGATATATATGATATAAACATATAATATTATACAATAGTGATAACCATAGCTAAATAGTCTTTGTATTTGATCAGGTCTCAGGTCCGCGCCAGGAATCGCTGTCCGGGCTGTCGCCCCAGATCCGCACCAGGCGCGGCGGCCTTGGGCATGGGATGGGCTGAAACTTGAAACCATGCTTGCTACTGTAAGTATTAAACTATATAATATACTATGTATATACACTATATACATATATATATATTAATATATATACTATATACATATAAGTGATATCCCTCATCGGAAATATTGGTCAACATCCACATGTTAAATGTTCTTCCCGTAATCTCCCCAATACCTGTTTGGTGGTTACGAATATCAAATTTGGACTATATAGCCAAGATGCAATGGTGAGAGAACCAGCAATTGTTGGGCTAGAGGTCGACCTCGGTCGCCACCTCGGCACACAGGCGAAAAGGGCGTTTTGTTTTTGTGGCTCCGTCGGTACTGCTAGGTTTACACAACTTAAGAACAGTTATTTCTTGTGCGATACATCGGATGAACACTGTAGGATTAAGGTAGTTTGTGAGAAACAAAGAAAATCCTTTGTACAAGGTAGTTTTTTTCGGACCTTGTTCTCGGATACATCCATGATTTGGGTTCGTTTGGAAATATGGTACCTCATTCGCTCCCGTGCTTTATTTTGTGCGTTTTGTTCATGGCCATCAATGGGGTGAAAATCAGTCATTTCTGGACAAACGGATTCTGGTTTGGAGCAACAAGGTACCATGGTGGACGACTACCACCATGGATGGATGGATGGATGGATGGATGGATGGATGGACGGATGGACGGAGGGATGGATGGATGGATGGATGGATGGATAGATAGATAGATAAATCGATAGATAGATAAATCGATAGATGGATGGATAGATGAATGGATAGATGGATAGAGTTATATATATATACATTAAAGTCTTCTGGGAACCCATAATATCTTGGATACTCAACACATCTGTTTAAGATCTTAGCAGAATCAAGTGACAACCCAACAACTTGATCCAATAGGTGCTCTTGGTCCACGCGGACATTGTGCAGGCCGTCGTTAGATTGGCAGCTGAGTTGTGGCCAATGCATAGTCCCTTCAAATGAGCAAATGACAACCCTCCAAATGGGCATATATATATGTGATTATATATGCATATGTGTTTATGTGTTTATATTATTTGTAGAGGGAGAGAGAGACCCTATATGTATACATATATCTATATATACATATGAGATATCATGTATCTATAGATGATGGTTCGCCACTTGCAGAATGGGCGAAGGTTGAAGTGAAAGTTGATGCGGCGCAGACCGAACCCACCTTTTTTGGACAGTTGATAGTGCTCCTGTATTTCCGGTGCCAAGTTTAGGCCGAGTTCCTTTTGCCTACGATTGGCCCCACAATATGTGCACCTCCAGCATTAGAAGCTGGACCAACTTTAGATTCGGCAGTGAAACAATGCACTTTTATTGCCGGACCGCTGTTCTGGTCATACACCATTTGGCCAATTCACTCTCCTAGTTGGGGTGGTTCTCATTTCCCCAAGGTTGAGGTTGTATGTCCCATTGAACACAATTGAGCAGCACTCAAAAATCCCCAAAACCAATTTATCACGGAGTTAATCTATGGTGTCTCTGCGAAAGGAAAACACACGGTCCTCCAAATAGAGCTCTGCGAAAGAGTGTCAAAAGACATGTGCCGCGAAAGCACTGCAAAAGTAGTCTTCCCACAAGCATGTTCCCCGCGAAAGCGACCCAAAAGCGATTCGCAAGATGTTCCAGTCAAAGCCAAAACTATGGTCGCGAAAGCCCGGCAGAAAGCTGTGCAAAACAAGTCTAAAGAGTACCCTGTTGATCAAGTGTTTTCCAGCAAGGCTCATTTTTAAGTTTGTTGTGGGATATACACGTACCCATGGATGTGTCAAGGAGAATCCAGGAGTAGCTGCAGTAGCCTATGTTTAAAAGTAAAAAATTCATTCCATTTCAGTCACTTTTCACGACATGATCCTCTCCAGGTCAGTGGCGTCCTGCCCCCCGTGGCTATGTCCCTGGGCGAGTTCGCGGCGAAATCGATGTCAGGCTGGATTCACTTCTTGATGGCGATACCACACCAATGGACCAATGGACCATGTTTGTTCCCTAATGAAGAAACATTTATGGGATTTTGATGGATTTTATGGGTGAAACCTCCATCGTTTGAGGTTTACCCTGCTGAACCTACCCTCATGTCACTGGGATCACAATCTTCGGGCCCCCTAAATTTATGTGGGAGCGCCAACAAGTGATCGACTATATAAACGAATATGAATAAACCACTTATAAACGATATATTGTGCGCCATCTGACGATATTTGCCCAGGCACTTTTTTTCAACTCGACCCATTCGACCCATTGCCCAGGCCAACTTTGCCACCAACGCTGGGGCTCAACGCCACGACTTCGACTACCGCAGGCTCGTTGCAGCTTCGGGGAGTTCATGGGAAGTCAACTGTTGGGTTCACCATCATCACATTTCCTGGGGAGACAACATGATGAGTCGGTTTAGGTACACCGAATTATATATATATATATGTATATGTTGTCATCACTTTCCCCATTCAAATTGGTCATTTTGGGATATACCAGGGTATACCCCTACCTTATCTCTTCACAAATCCTGCACAAGAACCCCGACCTGGTGATTCATCCCTCCATGGCCGTTTCAGGCTCACCTAGCAACTTTACCTCAACAGGCGCGACTTCGCCGGTGACAGTCTGTCTGACCACATGTCGCTCAAGATAAAAGTTTTTAACATAGGGGTGAAATGGGATCAATTAACCCTGCACACAACCCCAACAGCAAGGTGTTTTATTATGGTAAATTGTAACCTGCTACACTAGAAATGCTGGAATTCATGGCTGGTTTCCGGTCCAGATGTCCGGCTGACTCGGATGACCAACATATCAAAATCATCCGCTTCTCTAATGTTAAAGATCTTTTGAAAGAGAAGAACAAGTGAATTACACAAATGAATAATATATACATAAATATATATATATACATATATATATACAATTACATGTTTTGAACATGAATTTATCCATTCCCCTGTAGAAATCCCAGGAGATTTCACGCCGGGAGCGAACCAGGCCACGTGGGGCAGGTGTTGTCCGGAGTCCGGACAAAGTCCGGACAACTGAAAAAGGGACTTTTTACGAATCCAGTTGTTCAAAAGTTGGTAGATGTAACACGTGTAACACGTGTAACACGTTCACCTGTGGATTCGTGGATTCATCAAGATTTTAACCAACTTTTGAACATATATTTGGGTGTATTTGTGTGTTGTGTATGTGGCATTCTTACATACAGGTCTAACCCAACATAAATTGTGTTGGAAGGTTCTTCTGCTGAAACTTTCCACCTTGTAGCCGCAACCTCATCATCTTCCAAGCAACAGAGCGATCCTCAAAGATATAATCGTGGCCTCCGATGTCCAACCACTGCTTTGGAGAGCCTGAAATCATCGCCCGTGGGAACCAGTGGAGGGGACCAGTTGCATCATTTCACTCACGATAGCTGGTGAAACCTGTGTGTGGTTGGTCTGGAGGTTTCAACCCCACGGAACCAAAAGTCTTGGCCAATTTTGATATCTTTCCAAACTAAGATGTAAACTAAAAAGATGCAATCTGACTATCTGAAGATCTGAGAGTTTCCAAACGAACCTCATGGCGGTTGCCGCATGGTGTCATGGATTTCTTTTCGAAGGTAAAATCTTTCAATACTAGATCAGCATGGAAAATGTAGCCAGGTCGTCACTTTCGATGTTGGTGTAGGAGATTGAGTGGATTGGGAGGTGGCTGTGACACTGGAAAAATGTGTGCGTTATTTATGCATAGACATTGATGTGTGGGTATCAACAATTGTGACTTGGACTTCATGGACAAACATGTGGATAGAAACTAGAGTAATACCGGGGTGTTTTTCCAATTAATGCCAAAATTAAATCGGATGTTGGCATTTGTTTGTAATGGAGCCAAGTAGGGGGTGTGCCACACCAAGACTTATTCTATACTCGCACGGGGATCGTTCCTATCAGGGCGTGACACTGTGAATGCCTGTGCAAAGATTGTAAAGCCATGCTTAACATGAGCGAAATGCGGTAGATCAAAGCAAACGCCTTTGAACTGCAAAATCTACGTTGTTGTTTCCCTATCCCCTTGTTTTCGTTCAGAAACTATGTTCGCACTTTTTTGGGGGCAAGAGTTGGTTGGGCCAGCCGTCACCCCATAGCTAAAGCTACCACTAGGAAGATGCAGAAACAAAACAGGTCTGGCCTTGTTAGTTCCTGCCCAAAATGGTTTCAAATGCCCTTTCTCACCATTCCCCTAGAGTGGCCACATGATCTCATCGCATGAAGGGGTCTACAATCTTTCCAGCCTCATTTGCCCACTGCATGAGTTGTGTGTCTCATGGTTCATGTTTGTTTGGAATCTAGGTGCACATACAATATATGCGCCCCAGATTGTTTTTACATGGAAACCCAAAATTGCGACTTGTCCAAATGGAAAACCATCTTCCCATTTATCGGGGGGTTTCAGGTTGGTTTCCATAGTTCCCCCATATTTTCTGGTCACACTGGGTGACATTCCCCAGCAATTTCTGCTTCAGGAGTCCCCAAGGGAAGCCCTCCGAAGGTTCCGAAGATTCCTGCACTGGGCTTGCCACAAGGACCGCATGGGTGGCCAAGTTCACTGTATCTGTGTCAGGTTTTTTCTGGCTTCAATTTTCCGTTCTGTTAGGCACAAGATCTACGTTTAAAATTTGAGGTTTACACATTTTACACTCTGAAAATGTGTTTCAAGAGGTCAACCTACGAACTGCATCGAACTGCTGTCTTCTTAGAAGATTTGGCAGGTTCATAGTGTGTGATCTCGATCTCTCCAGGAGCAAAAGCACCACCACCACCACCAGAGGTTGGGACCATGGGGACCAGAAAGTACTGACGGGTTGGAAGAGATACCGTACTTGAAGTAACTCAGAACTCACTCTTGTATCTCTTGTTCAAGGAGTTTTGATGAGTTTTGTATGTTGACTCCCTCACTTCTACCCACAAAGTTGAGCTCGGTTCAGACCTCGGATAACAGAGCTCATGAAGCTCTTCGATTAGAACACGTCGGCACACCCAAGACATCCCAAGACGTGGTCGTTGCAAAACAAAATCAATTACGCTGCCCATCTAAAAGTAAACATCGCTTTGCGTATACACAGATATAATAAGATTCTCATAAGAGAAGACGAGATATGACAAAACATGAAAGGATATGACACGATATAGTAAGATATGTTGAGATATGATAAGATCTGATAAAGTAGGATAAGCTATGATAAGATACGATAAGATACGATATGATATGATGAGATACGATAAGATATGTAGAGGTCTGTGTCTCTTTGTCTCTCGATGACTCGCTTTCAGGCGGCTCCAGCAGCACCTGGTCTGGCGCCAGCGCCAGCAGGAGATTGACGATTCGGGGATTGGTCCTGTGACCGGGAAAACGTCAGAGAAGATGGGGAGATCACCGTTGCGCAATGCCTAGTTGACCCATGTTGACCCAAGAAATCTTGTGGCATTGATGCGTGGATGTAGCTAAACACACTTAAACTAACCGAGGATTGCGTTTTTGGTGTTTTGGTTAATCAGTTAATCAGTTTTTTTTCCTGTCGGAAAGTCCTCCAAAATGGCCAACGCGCCTCAACTTGAAAACCAATGATATCCAATGATCATTGGATCTGCCGTTGCAGGAGCTGCAAAAGCACCACCGCCAGAGGCAGGTTGATTGATATTTGGAAGACTGATCCACTTTGGGCCAGAAGATGCCATAAGCAGTTTGAGTCGTATCTAAGTCGCGGTACTCCTTTTGCAGAAGTACCTTTGAAGAGCAACCAGGATTCTGTGCCCCGAAAAAATGATGATTCTGATAGAGATTCCTGCGGTTGGTATTGGCACCTCAGCGGCAGAGATGTCACCCTTGAAAACATATGAAAACATCATATCTCATCCGACAGGGCAGTAATTAGCCATGAATCGCTATCTTCAGGAACCATCCAATTATCCCAGTATCTTCTCCCTGTGGTTTTTATCCCAGTTCGGACCCACTTCGGGTGAATTGATTTTCCTTTTACCAAAAGAAAGTTAGGTAGTTGCGTTCGGTTCGAAGCTCGGAGGACAGAGCTCATGAAGGCTCTTCGTTTAGAAGCAGAAGCAGAAGACATTCCACCTGAAAAGCCAACAAAGATGCAGAACCAAAGAGACCACTAATGCATACTAATGTGTGTGTGGGTTAAGTGCGAGTCCAATGGCACTTGAAGATTGGGCACGTGCATCAAAATATATTTGTTCTCAAACTTAAAGAAAAGTGCGCCGGCACACCCAAGACGTGGTCGTTGCTCTTAAAAAAAGATCAGTTATGTTGCCAATCTCAAACTTAACGCCAGTCTGAGTATGCAAAGGTATGAAGATATGACAAGATACGATGAGATATGAAAAGATATGATATGATAAGATACGATAAGATATGTAGAGGTCTGTCTCTCTTTGTCTCTCGATGACGATGACTCGCTTTCAGGCGTTTCCAGCAGCACCTGCTCTGGCGCCAGCGCCAGCAGGAGATTGACGATTCGGGGATTGGTCCTGTGACCGGGAAAACGTCAGAGAAGATGGGGAGATCACCGTTGCGCAATGCCTAGTTGACCCATGTTGACCCAAGAAATCTTGTGGCATTGATGCATGGATGTAGCTAAACACTACTAAACACACTTAAACTAACTGAGGATTGCGTTTTTGGTTTTGGTTAATCAGTTAATCAGTTTTTTTTTCCTGTCGGAAAGTCCTCCAAAATGGCCAACACGCCTCAACTTGAAAACCAATGATATCCAATGATCATTAAATCTTCCGTTGCAGGAGCTGCAAAAGCACCACCGCCAGAGGCAGGTTGATTGATATTTGGAAGTGATCCACTTTGGGCCAGAAGATGCCATAAGCAGTTTGAGTCGTATCTAAGTCGCGGTACTCCTTTGCAGAAGTACCTTTTTGAAGAGCAACCAGGATTCTGTGCCCCGAAAAAATGATGATTCTGATAGAGATTCCTGCGGTTGGTATTGGCACCTCAGCGGCAGAGATGTCACCCTTGAAAACATATGAAAACATCATATCTCATCCGACAGGGCAGTAATTAGCCATGAATCGCTATCTTCAGGAATCATCCCAGTATCTTCTCCCCGCTGTGGTTTTTATCCCAGTTCGGACCCACTTCGGGTGAAATGATTTTTCTTTTACCAAAAGAAAGTTAGGTAGTTGCGTTCTGTTCGAGTCTCGGAGGACAGAGCTCATGAAGGGTCTTCGTTTTGAAGCAGAAGCAGAAGACATTCCACCTGAAAAGCCGACAAAGATGCAGAAACCAAAGAGACCACTAATGCATACTAATGTGTGTGTGGGTTAAGTGCGAGTCCAATGGCACTTGAAGATTGGGCACGTGCATCAAAATATATTTGTTCTCAAACTTAAAGAAAAGTGCGCCGGCACACCCAAGACGTGGTCGTTGCTCTTAAAAAAAGAGCAGTTATGTTGCCAATCTCAAACTTAACGCCAGTCTGAGTATGCAAAGGTATGAAGATATGACAAGATACGATGAGATATGAAAAGATATGTAGAGGTCTGTCTCTCTTTGTCTCTCGATGACGATGACTCGCTTTCAGGCGTTTCCAGCAGCACCTGCTCTGGCGCCAGCGCCAGCAGGAGATTGACGATGTGGGGATTGGTCCTGTGAGAGTCAAACCGGGGAAACGTCAGAGAAAATGGGGAGATCACCGTTGCGCAATGCCTAGTTGACCCACGTTGACCCAAGAAATGGCATTGATGCATGGATGTAGCTAAACACTACTAAACACAGTTAAACTAACTGAGGATTGCGTTTTTGGTGTTTTGGTTAATCAGTTAATCAGATTGTTTTTCCTGTCGGAAAGTCCTCCAAAATGGCCAACACGCCTCAACTTGAAAACCAATGATATCCAATGATCATTAAATCTTCCGTTGCAGGAGCTGCAAAAGCACCACCGCCAGAGGCAGGTTGATTGATATTTGGAAGTGATCCACTTTGGGCCAGAAGATGCCATAAGCAGTTTGAGTCGTATCTAAGTCGCGGTACTCCTTTGCAGAAGTACCTTTGATGAGCAACCAGGATTCTGTGCCCCGAAAAAATGATGATTCTGATAGAGATTCCTGCGGTTGGTAAATCATTGGCACCTCAGCGGCAGAGATGTCACCCTTGAAAACATCATATCTCATCGGACAGGGCAGTAATTAGCCATGAATCGCTATCTTCAGGAATCATCCCAGTATCTTCTCCCCGCTGTGGTTTTTATCCCAGTTCGGACCCACTTCGGGTGAATTGATTTTTCTTTTACCAAAAGAAAGTTAGGTACAGTAGTTGCGTTCTGTTCGAGTCTCGGAGGACAGAGCTCATGAAGGGTCTTCGTTTTGAAGCAGAAGCAAAATATAGACATTCCACCTGAAAAGCCAACAAAGATGCAGAACCAAAGAGACCACTAATGCATACGTGTGTGTGTGTGTCTCTGTGTGTGTGTCTGTGTCTGTGTCTGTGTCTGTGTCTGTGTGTGTGTGGGTGGGTTAAGTGCGAGCCCAATGGCACTTGAAGATTGGGCACGTGCATCAAAATATATTTGTTCTCGAACTTAAAGAAAAGTGCGCCGGCACACCCAAGACGTGGTCGTTGCTCCCAAAACAAATCAGTTATGTTGTCAATCTCAAACTTAACACCAGTCTGAGTATGCAAAGGTATGAAAATATGACAAGGTACGATGAGGCATGAAAAGATATGATATGACAAGATACGATAAGATATGTAGAGGTCTGTGTCTCTTTGTCTCTCGATGACTCGCTTTCAGGCGGCTCCAGCAGCACCTGCTCTGGCGCCAGCGCCAGCAGGAGATTGACGATGTGGGGATTGGTCCTGTGAGAGTCAAACCGGGAAAACGTCAGAGAAAATGGGGAGATCACCGTTGCGCAATGCCTAGTTGACCCATGTTGACCCAAGAAATCTTGTGGCATTGATGCGTGGATGTAGCTAAACACACTTAAACTAACCGAGAATTGCGTTTTGGTGTTTTGGTTAATCAGATTGTTTTTCCTGTCAGAAAGTCCTCCAAAATGGCCAACACGCCCCAACTTGAAAACCAATGATATCCAATGATCATTAAATCTCCCGTCGCGTTGCAGGAGCAGCTGCAAAAGCACCACCGCCAGAGGCAGGTTGATTGATATTTGGAAGACTGATCCACTTTGGGCCAGAAGATGCCATAAGCAGTTTGAGTCGTATCTAAGTCGCGGTACTCCTTTGCAGAAGTACCTTTGAAGAGCAACCAGGATTCTGTGCCCCGAAAAAATGATGATTCTGATAGAGATTCCTGCGATTGGTAAATCATTGGCACCTCAGCGGCAGAGATGTCACCCTTGAAAACATCATATCTCATCGGACAGGGCAGTAATTAGCCATGAATCGCTATCTTCAGGAATCATCCCAGTATCTTCTCCCCGCTGTGGTTTTTATCCCAGTTCGGACCCACTTCGGGTGAAATGATTTTTCTTTTACCAAAAGAAAGTTAGGTAGTTGCGTTCTGTTCGAGTCTCGGAGGACAGAGCTCATGAAGGGTCTTCGTTTTGAAGCAGAAGCAAAATATAGACATTCCACCTGAAAAGCCAACAAAGATGCAGAACCAAAGAGACCATTAATGCATACTAGTGTGTGTGTGTGTGCACTGCTATTCACATGCAGAAAACTACAACTGGACATTTGATGACTATGCACGTTATGTTTTCCGAATTCATGCGCCAAAGACTATGCACGTTATGTTTTCCGATTTCATGCGCCAAAGACTACTTAACAGCAGGGGGCTGCAGGGAATGTCATAGTTCTGCAGCCAACGAAGACGGCTATGACATTCTGTGATATCGATCCGGGACGCTGGATCGACGTACCTGCCTAATCATGTCTTTCCTTTTCCGCGGTGGGATGTGGCTAATCCAAGAACCACCTTGCCGATTAATGATTTGGACCTGGTTTCACCTGTTTATCAAGGATGATGGACTCAGGAATTCTACCAGGCATGTACAACCACATCGTCATTGCAGTTCACTTCCAAAAATCAACAGTGTGCATTAGTCATGTGTCCTATACAGACCATGACCTCATCATCCCTAATGGGGAAGAACAATCTTGGCATAGTGTGCCGAATCCGCCCTCTACGGAGGCAGAAGTTGAGCGAGTAGCCATAGGGGCTGCTAGAAGTGATGGCAATAGCCGAAGGGGGGTCAAGGACAATTGAAGGGTGGCATAAGCCGAAGGAGTGCCCAACGGGCGAATGGTGCCCATAGGGCGAAGGTGGCCATGTGCCGAAGGATTTTATTGGCCGGGAACCCTACTTCTTACTGTCATTTTATGAGTTTTCACCTTCTCTTTCAAATCAATTTACAATTGTGAGGACAAGAGATCAATTTGAAGAGATCTAGAATATAGGAAGACCTATCACAAAAGTGTGCGGACACACATAGTTTGTGATGCTCGAACCAAGCAGAATGTCAAACACGGTAGGGACCTTATCGCTGCAGATGTGTGTACGATCTTGATTCATGTTTTCGAGGTTTTCTACTGAGCGAACACTTCAAACCAATCCAATAATTGAGACCATAGTCCTGTTATTCAAGAAAAATCGTCGGCCGCGCGCATGTTCCAATGGCCAGTGGGCTAAGCCAGAATCCCACACTGACCACTTTCGATCATGCGCAAGTTGACACATGATTTTGATGCGTTTTCAATCTGGGTAATGCATTCCCTTGGCTCATAGCAAGCTCTTTGACATGTTAAGTCAATTTGTTGCTTTTCATTTCTACACGTCATTCGTCATAACACACCATGCGCTAAATGTACTGACAATTCTTGAACAACTCATTTCTTCTTTCGCGTTCAGCAGACTTTTTCGCGATATGGAACTCCATGCAAGAAGCAAAGCTGCCAATGGACCGCCGTTGAGTGCTACCGTTGCGTATCTTCCGTCACAACCGATGGTATCACTGTCTTCACCGTGTGCAGCAGCTCCATTTGTACCACGGGCGACACCTGCATTTTCACCATTTCCCGGACATGCACCAGTTCTACAGACTCCGCCCGGTCCCCTTCCTTCACCTCCCCCCTCACATCCTTCACGTACAGTTGAACATGGACCTCACCAAGCAACCCCCAAGAT